ACTCTTGATCTCTTCAAACTCTTCAACCGGTTCACCATCGAAGCGTTTGCAGAGATTGGTTTCGGGGTTCACATGGGATGTCTTGATTCAGACGAAGAGCACCCATTCCAGAAAGCGTTCGACCGTGCTCAACGTGCCCTTCGCTTCCGCTTCACGCGACCAGGTTGGTTCTGGAAGACTCAACGTTGGTTAGGCCTTGGTGTCGAGGGACAGCTTCGACGTGACATTGAAGTGATCGATAAGACTGTACTGGAGATTGTGGAGAAGGCCCTAGCACAGCGAGCTAACCATGGGGGTGAAGTGAAGAATGGAGGTGACATCGTGTCTCTTTTCCTTGATCGAGTCAGCAATACTCCAGGCGCCAAAGATCGTGAATTTAATCCCAACTACTTGCGCAATATCGTCGTCAACTTCCTTATTGCTGGGCGTGACACCACCGCCCAAGCACTTAGCTGGTTCTTCTTTAACATTTCGAAAAATCCTCGCGTGGAAGCTTCTATTCGAAAGGAGATCGCGGACAAACTACCAACGTATAAAGTTGATGGATTTCCTACCATGCAGGATGTGAGTCAGCTCGCGTATCTCGAAGCTGCACTGAAGGAGACGCTGCGTCTTCATCCATCCGTTCCTGTTGAACCCAAGCAAACACTGGAAGACACGACGCTCTCCGATGGAACTTTTGTTCCCGCTGGTTCAGCAATTGGTCTAGCAACGTACGCTATGGCTCGAATGCCGAAAGTGTGGGGACCAGACGCCGAAGAATTCAAGCCAGAACGGTGGATTGACTCAACCTCCGGTAAACTCCTCGCTGTCTCGGCTTACAAGTTTGCGTCGTTTAATGCTGGTCCTCGTATGTGCCTTGGTATGAACTTGGCTATGCTCGAGATGAAGTTGGTTATCGTTGGACTACTGAGTAGGTTTCACATCGAGGTACTGAACCCGGAGGACGTGACGTACGACTTGTCCCTGACGCTGCCTGTTAAGGGCGCTCTCAACGTCAAAGTCTCTCGCCATCGCTGGCCTGCGCATGCTTAAGAACCTCTGCACATAAGGTAAGTATCAAGAGTGATCAATGTTTGTACTGTGTATCAAGTAAGTCCTTAGGTGAGTGTGTTAGGTATCTTACAATAATTGAGTTTCGCCATACTAAACTACACTGATCTTGGAGTTGAGTTGTTCCCTTCACGGGGAGTGTGAACGAGATGACATACGTCACTTGCCGCACTCATGATGAAAATTAAAAGTATGTCACGGTTCCAGGCACGAAGCAGAAGAAAAATGTAGATTCACTCTCAAACTCAACCCAAAGGGTAGCACAAAAGCATTTACAGTTTCACAAGAGCGTAAGACCGGTTGATTAACTACAATACTATTCTTCTTCTACATGACCGCAGCACTAAGAGGAAGCCATAAAACGCTCGAATTAATTCCTATAGGGCTGTCCGTAGTGTAGCGCTATCAGGAAATAGTTCGACTTATAAGTACCAGGATACCAAGGAAAAGCAGGGGTAGCATCCTCTACGAATGCTTAGGCAATTTCGAATAAGTGCAGCGAATAATCTTCGCATCAAGCGAGCCTTTCACCGGCAGAGTTAGCGAAACATCGTGTGCCACTTTCTCCAGGTCCTGCACTTCGATGTGAAACTTGGTCAACAGACCTGCCATGACCAGCTTCATCTCCGACATAACTAGATCCATTCCGAGATACAAACGAAACTTGCTCGGAGCAATTTCAGCCCATCCCGACGAGGAGTCGATCCATCGCAGGGGCTTGAATTCAGCTGCGTCAGGGCCCCATACTTGTTCCATTCGTGCCATCGCATACGTTGCCAGTACAATTAGGGAGTTCGCCTCGACAAACGTTCCGTCAGCAAGGGTGGTGTCTTTCTCCACGTACTTCGGGATCATAGGAACAGGTGGGTGCAGGCGGAGCGACTCCATCAACACAGCTTCAAGAGCGACGAGCTGATCCACATCTTCTATCGTTATGTCGGTAGCATCAGGTTTCAGGATTACAGTCTTTTGGAGCATCTCACTACGAATGGCAACCTCCCAGTAAGTGTTCTTGCTGAGCATGAGATACAACCAGCTGAGCGTTTGAGCCACCGTATCTCGCCCAGCGACCAAGAACATCACAGCGATATCGCGGAGAAACACCGGGTCGAATTGCTGCTTGTCAGCATTTGGGGAGCTACCAACATTATCCAGGATGAGTGACAGAATATCATTGGCATTGTCACTGTTGTTGGACGAGCGCCGTGCTAGGGCCTTCTCCACGATATCCATAACTGTGGTATTGATCACTTTGAGATCGTGTTTGAATTCACCTTCCACACCCACACCAAGCCACCGTTGGATTTTCCAAAACCAACCCGGACGTACAAAGCGCAAAAGTAGCGCTCGTTGTGCATGGTTGAATGCCTTTTGGATCGGATGCTCCTCATCCGAGTCCAGAGAACCCATGCGAACACCAAAGCCGATCTCGGCGACCACCTCAAGCGCGAACCGATTGAAGAGCCTGAACAAATCTAGGGTCTCGCCACTGTCACTTGCGTCCTAAGATGTCGAATAGCACAACGGTGTGGCGTTGAATCGTGGCTGTAATGGAGTCTCTCAGTGTTGTCTTAGTGAAAAAATTACTCGCTGTCTTCCACAAGTCCTCATCAGCAGCGAAGACGCCATCGCCCAGAAGGTCTTTTAGGTTCTGGCGCATGTAAGATCCCTTAGGGAAGTTGCTGAATTGTTGTTTGAGGACATCGTCGAACACTTCAGGAGTAGAAACCACGAGTTTGTCTGGCATCCCGATGGATCGAAAGAGTATAGGTTCCCCATTGAATTGACTGCATATTTCCACCGCTCGATCATGCAAGTTGCCATCGCAAGCAGCTCGAATCATAGCGAGTGTGTTTTCCAAGCGTGGGAGCGTCGTATCGGGGCGGTGGATCTTACGCAGTTTGGACTTGGCTGAGTCATTGTCGGTTGTTTCGTTGCGAAATTGGACCAGGAGGACGATGAGTGCGGCTAAAGCGATACTTCCCATACTGACCGTGATAGCACTGAAAGGCACTTTGTCTACGAGTGAGGCGATTGGCAGCATTCTCGAAGGAGACTTGAGCACTAGGCCGAGTATTCGATTCTATCGAGTGTCGTGGGCGAATCGTCGCTTTCAAAAGGTTCTTCCTTGTGATCCTCGTTCATGCTGGTAGGCTTTAGATACGCTTGCGTTTTTGTCAGCTCAGCTGCCCACTGAATGATACATCATAAGATGATGTATCATATATTTTATTGATTCTAGTGCCTATTTCGGAGTTGAAAGATCTTCATCGATACTTCGAAATACTCCATGAATAGTCATGTCATGATGTATTATTCTATACTTCCGCCTAGATTACCGAGGTCCAGTAGAATAACAAAGCCGGGAAGAATGAACACATCTTATCCAGTCATCGAGCGAGTACACTATTTCCTACCATTGAACCGCATGAAAGTCGTCTAGTTTTTCTTGTTTTCGCTGTTCTGACGCCACGCGTCCACGAGCGACTTGAAAATGCCGTCTGGTTTCCGCTGCAACTCTGTCGGCGACCCGAATTCCGCCACCGAG